GCGAAACGTCCGTCCCGTCCGAAAGGGAGCGGAGAACCCAGTGGATCCCGAAATCGGAGCGGAGAGGCCCTTTCGCAGCCTTGGCAGAGTCTATCTCTGGATCGTGTCAACAAGTTGAGTAGATGACAGACTGGGGGGTCCGCAGACTGGGTGTCCGCACGAAGATGAGGATGTACTTTCATTTTGGTGTCACCTTCAGAATCCTTCAACCTTCACAGCTGAAAGCATCTGAAAGCCACGGTGTCTTTACATAGACCTGGCTCAGTTTAGCAGCTACTGTTTTCGACATGCTACACCTCAACCCCCAGAGCATCAATCAGACACCCATTGCCACCTCGCCGGTACCGCCAGGCATTGAGACCTGCCACGGCGAGACTGTTCGAAAACAGCGGCCGCAGTTCGATGGTCGGACTTGCGAGTTGCGATTCTTGAGGTTTGGAGAGACCAATGGGGTGCTGAGACCAAGAGGGAGGAGGGATGACCAGGCAGGCCAAATCTACCTGGACCTTCTTTTGATACAAAAAAACATGCTCAAGTGTTCAATTGATACACTTTTTGCTGGGTCGAGCGCTTTTTTGAGAGGGACTTCAATTCGAGCACATTTTTCTAAGACCTGGTGTTTTTGAGGAAATCTTCCTTTTGGTTCATCTTGGTCCCAATCAGGCATAATGAAGATCTTCTGTGATCTTTTGGTTTGTTGGAGTCTTTTGTTCCTGCATGCGTGCATGTTTTTGTAAAGTTGCAGCTGTTTTTTGGCTTTGAAGCTCTTGGATACCTGTCATGGAGATGCAAGGCATTTGGTTGATTGATGTTGATTGCAAACATGCACGCATAACAATTGCGCACTTCTTGCTTGTTGTGAAGGTGTTCAATGGCAAGCAGGCATCACTCAAGGGGTCTGGGACACTTTCTTTGGAAAGAGTCAGGCTGGGTTCATGAACATGGCATGATGTTGCATGGCATGGAGATGTGGAACCTTGCCTTAGCTTGCTTGCTGTGTGCCTGTTTGCATTGGCTTGATGTGCACTTCATGTCAATGAGCAAATATAGCTTGTCCAAGTCAGTTTCCTCAAGTAGGTCAGATGGTGTTCTCTGAGCAGGCAGCAATCTTGCTGAGGTTGGTGTTGATTTGCTTGCTCGTCCTAAGTGTTCATGGACACTTCATAATAGAACAGCCAGATGCATCACTCCTGTACCAATACTGTCGGTGGCAATGGCTGCAGCACGGGGTTTGTTGGGAAGCTTGCCTTGTTTGGTGTTCATGTTCCGACATGCTTCTTTTGCATGGCATGCGTGTGCATGCATGGACCTGGTTACATGAGGTGTACAAAACTTCATTCTGGCTCATGCACTATGGGAGCCCGAGTCCCAAGAGGCTTCAAGTCCGATCAACATGGCCATGTATTCAACAGCTGGATTTGGGGAAACTTCCACGTTCAGAGCAGATCCGACTGACGACTGTCACTACTAGCCGTCTTAGACTCTGCCTATGCAAGCTTGCTTGTGGACTGCCCTCAGTGATTCTGCAGTGGCTTTAGGAAAAAAAAGGGGAAAAACATGGAGTGGAACCAAAGATTTGCGGTCAACTCAGCAGCTTCCTTAGCATGCCTGGATTTGGCATGTTGCTTGTGTGCGATGGGCATGTTCCAGTGTAGGACCTACCCCCACAATTCGGTATGATGCACCCCTTGTGGAGAACCGGTCTTTGAGGCGGGTGTTTGAGTTAGTTAGAACAACTCTTGTGATTGCATGTGTTGCCAGGAGCAAACCGCCGGTTAGCAAAGATAGAACTGATCGGGAACTGATTGAATCCTTGGAGCTTCAAGACACCTGGAGTGATGCTAACCTATTAGCTGTTTTTGACTATCTCTACCAGAGTTCTGGCAAAATGATTCCAGATAGTTGGAGGGCTACCATGAGTGAGTTCCACATGGCCTTTCGCAGCACAGCGGCGCAGTAGTGGCCAGCGATAGTTTAGTGGATGAGTACAACGATTTAGTCAAACAGCATGCCTCACATCTCCGACGCTAACAAACTGGTCTGAATGGATCCTCGGAGGAATAATGCAAATCCGAGCGCAATTTTCCGCCATCCGAGCGCAATTTTCCACAAGCGAGCGCAATCTCAAAATCTGCTCGAATGATGTAAGATTTTGGGCTTGCACAGGCTTGTAAAGACTTGTGCTAGTGGGTTCAGGATGTGATATAGTTTGGATATGGCTGTTGTGGGGTGGTAGAAATTTGTGACTTGCATGTGTTGGACAGCTCGTTTGCTCAAGCTTGATCAAACACTTTTTGAACGACATACTGTCAGGATCTGTCCGGCCCAGGCCATGTCTAAGGAGTCGCTGGATGAGGGGCTAAAGCTTCTTTGGATGAACGCGTCAGCCTCTTGTGAACCTATGGATGCCCTCATCCAGGTGCCTGGTTGACATTCAAGCTGCATGCATGGTGCTTGGTCTTGGTTGTTTTGTCACTCATGCACACCATGTTCACGCACGCCATATTCATGATACCACGTGCGTGCATGAACATCCATGAAGTTGGCAGGAAAAGCTCGCCAAGATTGCCAAGTTGAAAGCTCAAGTGGCTGAGTCTGCATCTCCCGCTGTGCCAGGCTTGTGGTGTCATGACATGTCTGGCTTTGTTGCCCTTGACCCCATGCATGCATGCATACATGTTTTCTGCAGGAAAGCCTGTCTCTGAGCAAGCAGCAGTCTTGTCAATGTTGCATGGCATGGCATTGATGACTTTTTCCGCGCAGTTGATGTCAAGAAAGTCTGGATCCACAGAGACGCAGCCGTACAATGTGTAAGGGCATGCCAAAATGTCACAGTCTTTTGTTTGCATTTTGAGATGGTGCACGCAAGCAGTTGAAGAGTTTGTCTTGCTAGTGCTACTCGACCTGCTTGCTTTTGAGGAAGGGGTTGCGGCGCTCAATGGATGTGCTGTTCGCCTGAACTGGCACCTTTCAACATGAAGCCAAAGCTGCATATGCAGCAGGAGATCATGAGCCTTGACATTTGTTGTGTCAATTATGTACCGCCACCGACTGCCACCTCTAAAGGATATGTCCTGTGTGTTCTTTGGCTTACTGTCCAAGGATGTCGATGCCCTGGATGCAAAGGCAACTGGACCGTCCAAATGCACAGTGGATCCTGAATCCTAGCCGAATCTTGCATGCGTGTGGCATGTGCGTGTCACGGCTTGCGTGGTGCATGTTTGTCGTGTATAGGCTTTGGCTGCTGGGTTGACGAAGATTTCATAGGCTGAGACTCTCGGTTGCATGACATGTTGCACGCAAACTCATGAACACATGCATGTCACAGTGTGTTGCATCAAAGCTCATGGGCTCATGAACGTCACGCATGCACTGTTGAATTATCTGACGCAAGGTATGCCGAGTTACACGTAGATGTCATTGCTTCGGGATTGCTGTGAGAGCAACCTCTCGGTGCTTAAGTCACTATAGACGGCTCTGGGTGAAGAAGAACTGGTTGAAAAAGAGCGTGCAATGAAAAACATGAGTGATGCCGTGCTGTGGGGGTGGGACAGGCAAGGTGGTGTTATCGCTTCGAGCGCTTTTCTTTGGTAGACTTCAATTCGAGCAGAAAACCTAAGGTCGAGCAAAAAGCACTTTTTTCTGCTCAAATGAAGCTACAGGTAAGGATGATTTTCCGGGACCGGGATGATTGGGCAGTCCATCAATTTAACTCGCCCATTTTTTGGTCAACTCAACCCTGTTTTTGGGATGAACGTTCCAACTGCTTGGCCTTCCCTTCACAGTTCGTCACAGTTCCTGCCGGTCCCGGTCGTCGTCACCCACGCAGGCCTTTGACCGAACAACTGCGGCGTTGGTGCACCAGATTGGCCCTGCGGGAAGAGGCGGGTGACGACCATTGGACGCATTTGGACAGCTTTGGGACCACTGGTGATAGGTGTTTTGAGGGGGGGTTGGGGAGGCAGAAGTGATGAGACATCATGAGACAGACTTTGTGTGTGTGTCTTATTCTGCAAACCCCTTTTCTTTTGGGATCTCTGGTTTGAGGCCGACCGTGTACTGAGCTGCTTGCGTGCTGAGCTGCTGAGCTGGATAGGAACAGATACAACATGAAGCATACCAGCACCTTCATTCCGGGGTTAGCTGGCTGGAATGCCCTACACTACTACTATCCGGAATCTCCAGACAGGACACCCCTATGTCCAGGTCCCAGAGTCCAGGTATGTCAAGTATTTGTATCTCTACACTCTCGGACAAGTACACTTCGAGTTCTTTTGCAAATGTCTCTATATAACACACTGCGAGTCCCTCGGCCCTTGTATTGAGGTTTGGTTGGAGTTCACCTTGGGCAGCCTACGTGCAGAGTGCTTGCTCTTGGCTGACACCATGCTGGTGGGGGGGCCTCGGAAGGGCGAGACCTGGCCGATCGATCTACCAGCCGCGAACTGCGAAGTGGCAGATCGGGTGAATTGGATGTTCCCGAAACTGGGGGGAAATCCCTGACATGGGGAAATACTGTATAATGATTATAATAATGTAATATAATGTATCTTTACATATTATATTATAGAACTATTTAAATTATATATAGCACGTATTTTTTTCCGGGCTCCTTCAGCAAATGCAGGTCCTGCGTATACGTGACTCCCAGGTATTTGAATGCGTATACGTTGCATGGCACCACCCTGACGAGACGAGAGCAGCAAAGCACGGGAGCCTCGACACGCCCCATCCGTCGGCCAGACCATGCACGCGGGCTTCGTAGCGGTGGTCGACGCTTGGTCGCACCTGGTGTGACGAAGCGACTGGTCAGGCTGAGGGTTGCTGAGGGTTGCTGAGTCAGACAGGATTGTAGGTTAAGATGAAATCGCCACAACCCTCGAAATATCACAGTGAACATATATGTGATACTTTTTGTTGACAAAACTCAACAAAATTACCAATAGTCCAATCCTTCGGATGTACGAAGCTGACATCTGGTGAGTTCGGATGTACGAAGCTAGCTGCGTCCCTCGCACCCTCAGCCACTTGGCCTCATTGTCCGCCGCATTGGTCCTCGCCTTTGTCCCTCGCAATGGCCCCAAAGCGTGCTGCAGCCACGCAGGGCGGTCCTGCAGCAAAGGTGCCGAAGATGCCTCAGTTGAAGAGATTGACCTCTTCCAACAAGGCAAGGAGTGCAGGATCATGAGATATCATTAGGATGAGATTTACTGTAGCCTCCAGGGCTCTTGATGGTTAAAGTCACACATATTAGCGTGGTAACGACGCGTTTTTGATCAGACAAAGGGTCACTCGGGTTCTTGGTGTAAAGATGTGTAAAGACTCATGAACATATCAGTGATGCCGATGAATGAATCAAATCAGGCCGATAAGTAAGGCCCTAGCAAGTACATGTTTGAATGGTGATATGGCTACTCAAACTGTATCTCACTGCTGTAAGCATTGGCACCAGCGGAAGTTTGAAGGTTACTTCATTTGTGTGTGTGTGTCTGTCTGTGTCGATGTGGGGGCTTCAGATGATGGCGTTATTTGACGCACTCATCGTGCAGAAGGTTCTTTTTGGCACCGTGCAATTTGATGAATCCAAACCAGGCCATGTAGCAGGCCATCATGCCATAGCCACAGGAGGAACAGGTAGCATACGGTAGACTAGAGTACATTGGACGTGACAAGCATGCTTCACTGACTATATATACTGGCTGGTGAGGGAGAGAATCCTCTTCCAAACCATTCATATAGACTCTTGATTACTGTAAGAACCAACCTCAATTGAGTTGGAAATCCTGTTCGAGCTTGTTGGGGTGAATATATCATCGAGAGTCTACATGATGTTTGCTGATTGGAAAGTCATACGGGCATCGCTACTGGTAACAAGGGCATTACTACTAGTAACAAGAAGCTACTACCAGGACCCTCCAAGGTGGTGTCTATTTATAGCCCCTTAGCCGTTAAAGGGTGTCCATTAACCACCCTTGAAGGCCCCTGGTAGTAACATTGGTCAACTCCCAGTTTTCTCGAATGCAAAACAGCCTGAACAGCCTGCCTAGCCTTGGAGTGTTGGATGTCCAGTCTCAAAAGCTCTGCCAGTCTCAAGGGTACTGTTGTCGCCGTGTACTGTGTGGGCCAGTGTTGGCGGTTGTTCCACTGAAATTCAATGATTTCATATATTTTCGATAGGCAGCGCGTCGTTTCAGTTTCTCCATGTCCATCGCCACAATCATGTTGTTTGTTTACTGACTCTACTCTTCAATGAGCTGCTAGCAGTTGCAGCAGCAACATAACTTAAGGTGTTTTCGACCGGTCCTCGTTGTCGTTCTGTTCGCAGGAAGACTTGGAACCACTATCACTCCCTCTGGGCCCAGCTACCTTTCGTCCACCTCCGTCTCGTTGTCCTTGTCGTTCTGAGAAGCAGCGTCTTCCTTGGTGGACCGAGCGACCATCGCCGTGACCTGACCGCCGGAAGTGACCTCCTCGGTGTGGCGTTGATCACGACAGAACATTCACTCCTACAGTGCCGTTGGAAGGCTGCGGCGTACGGAGGTTCAACGGGCTGCGGCGGCCGCATGAAACGAAGAAGCTCCCACTGTCGGGACAGGTACGGTCGTGGAAATGGGGATGCTTAGCAAGTCATTTGGTCCGATTTGAGAGAGTGTTGGAAAAAGAACACGTCGAAAGGTGGATGGGAACTCTTGAAGTTGTCAATGACTATTTTGGGACGACCAGTATGCAGCAATCAGGAGGTCATATTTGGAGGTTCTTGTCAGCCTGTAAGCATCAACACTGTTGTTGGCCGGCATAAAAATTGATGGGATGACTTGGGTGTATAGCTTTCTACTCAAGTGCTTTGACTTTGGAAGCTCTATATGCTGAAACAACGTTCTAGAACTTCCTGCCTTCCTCAGTGGCAAGACTTGGCCACTTCTTGATCAAATGATTCATTGATATCTTCCAAAGACACCGGGACAGCTGGCACGGCAGGGAGCTCCATTGTCTGTTCCTATTTGTTCCTCATCTTTTCCTGTCGAAACAATCAATGCTATCGGAGCCCATTGGTCACATCAACGCGCGCCACCTCAAGTTTCTTCCCAAAATGCTCTGGAATCTGTGGTATGCGTTGGTTTTCTCAGTGTGGTGAAGTCAGTTCTAGAATTCTAGAAACATGAAACAACATGCAAAGCTCATCAGAACACTTTAGATCTACCGCAATGGAAAGACCCAGCCTAGTAGGGATGAGTCTTCCAGATTGCTCATACCCAAGAGGGGTGCAGTGGTTGACTTACTGCAAGCAGATGAGAAACAAGTCGATCCAGTTGCTTTGTGTTGACGGATCACCTACGAACTTCTTGGGAAATTGTGTTGTCTACAGTCCACACTTTGGAAATCACGGAAATCCGTTGTAAACGTTCTGTTGTTGTTTCAAAAAGAAGTCCAGATTCTTGCGGTTTCCTCGAAGCTTGATGCAAGGATACCTATGCCTACAATCGGGTGAGAAGTTTTATCTCTGCATTCAGCAAAGTGCTGCAAGCGCATTTGAAGAGTGTGGAGGTAAGTGGCCAAGAGGACAAGATCGAGGAGTATGTGCAGACATGCTCCATGGCTATTGTTTAGGCTACAGGCACTGGCACCTGTATATTTGTGTTCATTGATGTGTTGAACAGCAAGTGCTGTGGGTGTTGCTCTGATTGTTCCAGAGTGTGGTGTTGTTTTTCTTTGTTTGGAGTCTACTTACTTCTCAGTTGGTGTGCTGCTGGTTGTGTCGAAAGTATTTTCAATATCGCTCTTGGCTTGTCATTTGTGCCACTGATGTGTCTGGCCACGTGACTTGCGACTCTGGTGGTAGCTTTAACATGTCTTTGAATCAGAAGCTCAGAAGCTGCGTTCATGTGACATGTGCGTTCTTCGCTCAGTGCAGGCCAAGTACTGTACCATAGTAGTCTCTGAAACGACCTGTTTGGCTTGAGTCTCCCCAATCGAGTGCGTCCATCACAGCCTGGAAGTGACATGTCCATGCAGCATTACGGTAACAGGTGTATTCCACAAGGGGACTTACTGTATGGTTCCACAGGTGGTTCAGTGTGTTTGTTGCCTCAAAATGAGACTATAATAGACTATATATAATGTGACTCTTTGCACATCCAGGCTATGCCCTCGTCATGGACATGCACACCTTCAACGATGCCAAGCACAATGCCGCAAGGTCTCGGCTGAAGATTTCTCTTGAAAAGGTGGCAAAGAAACATGGCATCGATCTTGGTGAAGGGTCTGAAGTTGCTTGGATTTGCTTGGCATATTTGGCAGTATGTTGTTCTCTCCCATGGGGTTTGCGCGTGTGTTTGATGCATGTTGATGCATGATCCTTGGAAGATCTTCAAAACAGCAAAGGTTGCGTGCAAAGTCACCAACCAACGTGTTTACAATAAAATCAACCAAGATGCAAACAACCACTATTCCCACTCTGAAGAGAATATTCTTACAAATGGAGATATGCTCCAGCAGGCTAGTATAGAACCTGAACATACATAGAAACCTACAGCAGACGCCTTTTGACGTCCTTCCTTCGCAAGACCGAACCGGTGTTTTTAAGATTCTTACCGTTGGCTTCCGGGGCCGAAGAGCGTAGTACTGGGCACCTAGGATGGCGAAGAGGATGAATCAGGCATCGCCCGACCGTGTGATGAACTGTGACCGTGGTGTGCCCACGGACGGACGCTGCTCGGTTTCGAGAAGTGAACGTGCTTGGCGCAGGGGCAATACTTTTCCCAGGTCACGTTTTCGTGTTCAAGTTGTTTGAGATGCTCCTTGCATTGTTCTTCTCTAGAGTTTGTTTCAGCAAAATTCCCACTTTGCTGCTTGCAAGCAAGAGTTCGTTGGACATGCTGTAGTGGGCATCTTTGGATTGTCAAGAAACTGGAAGATTATGTGTATTTTATGTGTTTTTCTTGCAGCCTTGCATGTGCATCAGTTTTGCTGTACCTAGGCTGGCGACAGCGTGTCTTTGCAGATCAGTCTGCACAGATTTCACACACTGCGAGCAGGGGGGTTGCACAGACGTGCTCTCACGTCCGTGTAGGGGTTGAAGTTCCTGCGAGCCGAAGAAAAGGTGGGACTGAGCGGATGATAGCGGACTTTGGCTGGTTCGGCGAATAGCAGTGAGGTCCCCAAATCAACACTTGCTGACTTGTGCGACGAAAGCAGGGAATGAGGGTGGCTGGATCCAATAGCTTAAATCTCGGGGGTGAAACTTCCCTTATTCCCTACTTTCGTCGCACCAGTCAGTATGTAGAGGAAGGTGTTAGATTGGATCCAAAAGTGTTCATGCAAGCAACTGCGGCTGCTTCGATTCCACCTAAGAGCAGTTTTTGGGTAGCTCGAGATTCCAGATGATGCCATTTTTTCAATCTTTTGGTGAGCACATCCCACAAGGGTATAGTTGATCGAACCCCCAGCTGCTCCCGATCGGTAGGAGCCATTACCTTGGTCGCCTTTACTCCATATGGGGTGTGGATTGTCGATCAAAGCCCCATGCAGTTCAAACAGGCTCAGTTGGCGACCCACATCCATTTTGTAGATATTTGTATATAGGGATTGTATGATTTGTTTTAAAGTCCGTACCAACAAAAACAAACACATTCAACATCAATGGTAGGGGGATGGTCCAGGTACCATGGGGTATTTGGATTTCGATGATGAGTTTTATGGTGATCACCACTGGTCCAACTTCTGCCAAACCCAACGCACTGAGGGTTGGAACTACTTTGATCGTCTGTGGCCTTTGTGGGAATGGGCCGTCGGGACACCCAGACTGTTGGCACGGGAACACCGGGACATGGTGGGGTCCATGGCCATTGGTTGTTGGGTTGGTTTGATGCCAGAACACTAAACAGACTCAACCCTTCAACACCATCGACGCATCAGCTTAACCTTGAAGTGGTATCCTGCCTTCTTTATGCTGCTGAGAGTTGTTGTTCAATATCCACAGTTGTGACCAGTTTCAACATGGAAAGGCATCTCCTACTGGTTGGTGCCGTTTTTCGAAGGTATCTATATAGATGTCATCATGCTGCACGGTATAAACCAACCTTGGAAGACTGGCGAGTCTTCGGAGGTCGTTTCTTCGACCTGAACGTAGAGACAAGCGTTCAACAATGTTGGTCTCCCACGGGTGCGATCCATGGAGGAAGTCGGGGTGACCCGACGTCACATCCACGGCCCCTGGATGGGACGAAAAACCACCCCGTCTTGTGACCCCGGGTCTTTGAGATTTTACCCATGCAAGTTGAGTGCAGTCTGCAAACACGAAGGCAATATTTATTTATTGCTGCACAATCTTCGATCTGGTTGCTCTCGGCTGACATTTTTGCGGCCAGTGTCGGTGATTGGGGGTGCTGGCTATGGGTCAAAACCAGGTTGCCCAGAACTCACCCCTGGTAGCTTGACCATGTTTGGTAGTCTATGCTGTGCATTTTCTGTGGGGAACTCAGGTCTTTTGTGCTCGACGTGGAGCGCACCGCGTGCAGCTGGCGGCCGACGCCTTTTGCAAGAAGACCGTGGTGGGGTCCTTGGGATGGGGTTACGGAGGCCCTTTTGAAGGGCTTAGTAGTGGTGGTGGGAACAATTGGGTTTTATAACCTGATGAAGATAGCTGAACCTGACTTCGAGCAGACTCTACAGGGAAAATGCATTGTTTGTTTATGGGGGGTCCATGCCCCACTGGATGCTTTTGTGCACTTAAGGGCGTAAATTTCTGAAACAAGAGCTTCCCTATACATGTGTGACTGGCACAACAAGGGTTGCATCACCCATATCGGAATCTGTTCATGTTCCGGGGTTCGTTCGCAGCTGTTCATTCACCGCCGAAGTGACGACCGAACCGGTTCGGGACGGAATCGGCTCGGGACGGAGGACGACCATGAGGAGTTTGGGACAGGTACTCTCCCGCAAACGGACCACATGGAAGCTGAGAATTGACCGGTGGTGGTTTTGACCATTTTCCGAATACCAACCCCTAGTGGTTTTGGGGTTCCATGTGGTCCGAATTGCAGGGGAGTATTTGGCATGATAGGGAACTTAGATGGTGAACGTTGGCATAGGGAAAGCGGGGGACATCAGAAGGCCGCATGCCCCTGCATGTTAGAATTCTGAGGTGGTGTTCAAACGATGTGAAACCAGAAACACACATTTATAGCACGTGATCGATATTGAACACCATCAAACTACAGAGATGAATTACACAATACCTTCAACTTCACATCTTTTGTGTGTTTCATTCAGGAGCAAATCAATGCAACCCACTCACCTCTGGCTGCCCATGTGAGAATTGGACAACATCTATGAATCTATGGTTGGGATCGGCCCCCGCTTCAGAATGGAAAGAGGTCCTGAGGGCTATCTCTCCTGACTTTCTGCGTCGGTCCGTGGAGAACTTGTCCTGTCCATCACATGCCCGTCCTTCGCCAAGCTAGGCTAGCTTTCCCGTCTAGTTCCCACTTGCCTAGCTTGCCCAGCTTGCCTAGCTTGGCTATGACCCATGAGCTAGTTCCCACTCACCTTTGCTTTCCTGTCTCACATGGGAAGGTGAACAAAACCCGGTCCGTTCCAACGAGCGTCGAACGAAGGAAGGCCACCGGCGATCGGTCCACCCGTGGATCGGTCCACCGGTGGGTCTCCGCCGCAGGTGGAATACCATCGTGCCCTCCGGCGGCTCAGCGTGGTGAACGCGCCCGGGGCACCGAGCAGCTTTGCTCGGTCGCAGACGTCTTTTGTGAATGAGGTTTACCTGCTGTCTTTTGTTTGGCTTAGGATTCAGTTTATATCAGTTATATTTAGTTATTATATAGTCTATTTTGCCTATGAGTGAATCTCCTTCTGGGGAATATCTTTGGTATCGTTTGGTACCCTTTACCCGGTTCCTGGGGCAAGTTTAAGCAGTTCAGGTGTTCAGAACGGAGGCACTGGTATTTTCCTGGAGAATAGCAGGAGTGGCCAGTTGAAGGCAGTTGTGGAGGGTATTTACTCGAGGCAGACAGTGGGATTCATTCTGTCAGAAGGTAGAAGCCGTCCGGGGTGGGTTTGGGAAGAGGTTCTAGCCTTATGAGGGGTTTCAAATTTTTCTTGGCCAAGGGAAACCATGAAACCGCTGCACATGTAGCTTTGGCAAGGCAAATAGAAGTTGATAGAGTCAATTTCCTGTGAAGCAGTAGGCATTACCTACTGCAGCAGCTGGCAACTTCTGCTCTCAACCTCCAGTCTTAGAGATGGTACAATCCCAAAATTTCATGGTCTATAGGTCCGTATATATACAGTGGTTTCAGAGTAGATGGCACAATCACCAAAAGGTGGTTTATATGGATCCCCATCTAAAAGACATCTGAATCCACTGTAATCGAAAGATATATGTTTGGGATTCGAACCGGGTGCCATCGAACCTCCCCACTCGAGTAGTCACTCCTCTTGTGACCTCTCCAAGTCCGGCCGCTCCGACCACATACGCCGCAAGTCTGCCGCACGCCCCGGCTACGCAGGTCTTGCCGGGATACTCGTGATCGGCCGCTTCTCCTCGAGGTGGCCGAGCTGGTGGGCGGCGGGAAGGGATGAAGGGGGAGGCAAAGCAGTGAGTTCATGCCCATATATGTGCGGAGTGTTTACAGAAAACAACGGCTCTCAAAGGTTAGGTTTGTCTACTACGTCGTGAGAATCCCAACTTGTGAGTGGTGAGGTCTTGTCTTAACTTGGGTCCATGTGGATGATCGGATTTGGGAGCTCATATGGCTGCTATCTGCTTATGGAATTCCAGACACCCCCAAAGCAAGGTCCAGGTATACTTGACTCATGTGACCCATCATCAAAATCTGGCAGGTCGCAGGGCAGGTCACCGCGTCACGTCGAGACTGTGGGAGTCCATCGCGGCCAGGCTTTGGAGAAGCTTTTCCACTGTCGCTCGGCGGCAGAGCCGGTAACCCGGTGACCCAAAATGGGGAGCATATTTGCCAGCCATGTTTCTCAATTTACCTGTTGCCATTTTGAAGGTTCAGGAAAAACTGAACCGCTGGGAAAGAGTTGGAAAAAAAGGAACAGGCTTGGTGCTGGGTTTGACTTCACTTTCCCCGGTTGGAAACCTTCAACATCCTTCAACATCCAGCGACCCTTTCATGGATCTTCCATAGACTTGCAAAACCGCTGACCTTTGGAAGGACCTAGGCTAGGACGTTCAAGCTCTAGCGAGAGAGGGATGCCCCTGGGTAGGACCATGGAGGACCCAGCATAGCACGGAATGCAGCCCGAGGCCCTGCGGGCATGGACATTGTGTCGCTGCTCTCAGTTCTCAGCCGAATTTGTCTGGACCGATTCAATACACCTCACCGAAGGGCCAGACAAGCCTCGGTGGTGGACAGATGGCCTACATGAGGTAGTGAATGAAAGTGGTGAATGTAGGCCATCTTGGCGCCAGCATGGAGCACCGGAAAGCTAAGCCCAACAGAGACGGATCCTGTCAGTTTTGCCTTGCTTGAGTCCTAGGAGTCAGTTTGGTGAGTACAATATACTTATATAATCTTATATAGATACCCCATCCATGGGGTTGGGCTATTGACGGATCAGGTGGTCAGTGGTTGATTGAGGGTGAAGGTAGGCATAAATACTACACATGGATGATTTGGGCTGGCTTGATTTCATGTATTGTCCAGATCCAAAGCCCTGAAGATCGCTACGAGAGGATGGTGATTCTGAAAACGATCGGTTCTTCTCCGGCCGGAACTGTTAAAGTGGTCCAGTAGTCGAGTGTCTAGCTGCCCAATTCTGGCGCAGGGCAGTGCGTTGTGTTCAAAGGTGGTTCGATTAATACTTGCTCTTATAGATGCGCTTTTTTCCTTGGCTGCAAGAACCCTCTATTCAGCTTGAAATGGAGTTCCTAGAACCATTGAGTGCAGTCACTATCTTGAGAAGTACTTGAGGTGCATTTCACGGATCTGAGATTTTTCCATGGATCGTCAGGATTTGCAGAAAGGTTGAACAGCCATAGAGCTACTAATACATGTATATACCCTTGTAGGGTCCAATTGTAGGGTTCTAGTTCAGGTCTGTCAACCTGCTCTTGGAT